ATAATCGCTTAAAAAATAAATGATAATAATTTGGTCACTCAGTCTGTGACTGATTGTGGGACGCTGCTGTGCGCAATTGGCTGCCACAAAATATACAGTCACTACACTTTAGAGTATATTCTGTGAAGCGCTTTGAGACGTCTCAACACTGTGATAAGGCGCTGTATCAAATGCCGGAATTATTATTTTTATTATTATTATTATTATCATAACCTGTCAAGCTGCCCAGTAATAAAGGAACACAGATCCCCAGGTTAGATTGCATGCTCAACGGACGCTGGTTCAAGGGAACACAAACCCTCGCTCAAGACAGAACCCGGTGATGGTCACCCGCTGCTTCTCGAGATGCAATTGTAAAGTCAGCCCTTGGAACAACAACAACAACAACAACAAGATTCCATTTATAAAGCGCCTTTCACGTCAGGAGGACGTCCCAAGGCGCTGCACAGTTGGGTCATGACCCGAGCACTGGGGGAAATGGTCAGGGTGAGGGGAGGGAAGGGAGGGAGCGAGGAGGGGGGAAATGGTCAGGGTGAGGGGAGGGAAGGGAGGGAGCGAGGAGGGGGGAAATGGTCAGGGTGAGGGGAGGGAAGGGAGGGAGCGAGGAGGGGGGAAGAGAGTCGAGAGGGGAGCTGAACACTTCAAAAGCTAAAGTAGGTTATTAAGGACACCCAAGAGCTTTGGCTGTGAACCCTCACTTCCCTTCCTCTAGCTGAACTCTTACATTTACTCTATTTGCTGCCGGCCCAGGGGGTGCGGAGCAGAAACAGGTACCCCGACACTCAACTGATAATGGCGACGCTGATGGGATACACAGGGCTCTTCACTGGGAGTGATTTATTGCTGTGAGGGCACAGGTCTTGCCAGAGTGGAGCTTTGTTGACCTGAAGCCAAGGGTATCCCTCTATTACACAGCCTCTTCCCAAACAAGTCTAAAATAACATTTGTAGAAGAAGGCTGTGGTCTTAATGGTTCCTCCACCTCGTAAATCTCTCCCAGCCATCCTTCCCAGTTCAAGTTGTTTGTACTCCGCTTAGCTGGTTGAACTCCAGCAGTTATTCCAACACACACCTTGGGGTCTCACCAACCTGTGCATAATACAGCCTAGATTTCAGTCAGGAAGGTACATCCACCTGAGGAGAGAGCCCACATTCCATTCGGGGAACAGGGACATTTCCATGTGTAAGTGCATATACAGTATATGTGGAAGTCTGTCTGGTTTGGAGACCCCTAAGCATGTGTCAGACACCCTGATGTGAAATTACATTAATTCTACAAGTACATTGTAGATGTATGAAGATGCTTTCAGTAGGAATCACATGGAGCAGATCTGAACCAGTGTGTTTCAACCCTCACATATTCACACCCCTCACAGCAAAAACATCCTCTAAGCACAACCAGCAATGGGTAGTAATTACTGGGTACGTGTTCGAAGAGGAAGAGTGTAAAAGGGTGCGGGAAAGAGCAGGGAATTGGCAATTAGAGGAGATGGTTTCAGCGAGGGACCTGGCAACAGCCTTGGCTCAATGGCCTCCTTCTGCTCTGTAATTTCTATGGTCTGGGAACAGACTGCAGGGAGGTCAAAAGGAAATGGAAGTGAACCAAACGGGTTTTGTCTTTGGAGGTTTTGGCAATAAGTAATTTAATTGGAATAAGGATCCCTCTGGCTTTCACAAGATTGGTTCTAATGAAGAAGGGCCTTCGGCTCCTTCTACAAATCCCACCCGACCATCTTTGACTGTCCGCCCAGCACGAAAGGCACTGTGTAAATATAATTAGTTGTTGTTGTGCTGTCTCAGGGTACTTTATAGTTACAGGGGTAGGACACTGAGCAACTGACACTAGGGAAACGGGGGAGGTGGCCATAGGCTTGCTCACCGAGGTGGGGATCTAAAAACAGAAATAGAGGGGGCGAGATGGAAGGGTGGAGATTGGGAGTTCCAGAGGTTAAGGGCTGGGGGACGTGTAGCAAACTGGGGTTAGCTCAGCGGAGGAGTGAGGTTGGAGTTATAAGGAGGAACCAGGGATTGGATGGAAGGTGATGATCTTAAAAATCGATGTGCTGGGAAACGGGGAGCGTCAAAGGGTAATTATTGTTAAGTGTAGTGACTGTTGGTTTTGTAGGCAAAAGAGAAATAAACACATACATGCATGAACGCATTCACACACACACCACACAGACAGACAGACAGACACATACAGACACACAGAGACACACATACACACAGAGACACACACAGAACAATCCATATTAAGTGAATGAATCATTTTTCATTGGCCAAACACATTACACATGGTATCAATTACAAACCGTATCTAGTCAAATTTATAGAGCCAGCGTTTTAAGAGACTTTAAACCTGAACCAGATGTGGAATGTTTCCTAGTTCAGTCACTGGGCGGAGACAGACTATCCATACTATAAGTTGAAAGCATGTCTCCTCACCTCGAAAGCAATGAACGCCTGCCCTAAACTCCGTTCGAAAAAGTGGCGGAGGAAATATATGGTGAACTGACCGGCTTTTTTGAAACAAAAGCAACTTGCATTTATATAGCGCCTCTCAAGCAGGGAAGTGTCACTGAGCACTTCAATGCTTCCTATCTATGCAAATCCGACCCTCCGACAAAGCAAAAAGTATGTTTTTTTGGTGTGAGAGACTGTTGCCTCCAGCGCAATACTGCAAATTGATGACATTTTGCTTCTCTGATGGAGAGAGAGAAAGGAATTATTAGTCTTAACAGAAACAAAAGGCACACGAGGCTTCAGCCTTGGATGGGTTGCAGGGTATCTTCAGAGAATTTATACATAATAATAATAAACCCAGCATTTGATATAGTGCTTTATCACCTCAGTGAGATGTCTCAAACTGCTGCACAGAATATATTGTAAAGTGAATTGACTTGTGCATTTTGTGGGCAAAACTCAGCAACCAATTTGTGCACAGCAGTCTCACAACCAGCTGTGGCGTTTGCAGGATGGAGCATTGAATAGTTAGTTTGACTGAGCCAGGAAGGCTGCTTGTTTGAGTGGCTTACATTTCCAAACAACCTGGAATTCTTGTCGACAAAGGGTTAACCTACTGAGTGCCACATCTGATTGGATTGTTCTGGTGCTGATATTTACACACTCGGACTATTAAATCCTCAGCACTATTTGGATCATTCTCCTCGGAGGTCCCAAGGATACACCTGCAAACACTCCCTCTCGCTCACTCGCTCGCTTCATCCAAAACCCAGCTGCAAATCTCCTGCAGATCTCCGCAGAGCCCTGCCTGACTGGAACCCCTTCATCTTCCAATGGGAGGAATAATGGCCATGAAAACCCTTCTCCTCCCAGTGTTTATCTTGGGATAGAACGTAAAAGCGGAAAGATCGGAAACCAATCAAGGGAATAGCAAACACTGGTGACAATCACACGGTTACATATGATACGGGCAGCCCTGTAGCCCAGCGGTTACAGCCCTCGCCTCGCAAGCGAGAGGAACCAAGTTCGATTCCCGGGCAGGTTGAACCCTTAGGCAAGTTTCCTTACTCCACACACCTCTGTTTACCCAGCAGTAAGTAGGCTGTCCGTCGATTGGCGGATCGCTTTTCCGGGGGTAATAATCCCTGAACAAAAATAATAATTTGGTCCAAAAGTAATTTGCGCCGAGTGTAGTGACGTTTTGGGGGCTTACGCAGCAATCATTGGTGACGGCAAATCACCACGAGTCAACCACGAAGCAAACGGCCAAATGATGTGGAGATCGTTGTCCAGGCAACCAGGAAAAACTCACCTCGGCTTATTTGACATCCCAATGAGTCCCAGTGCCTTGGGACGTCCTCCTGATGTTAAAAGTTCGATAAATGTCATTTGTTGTTCTGTCGCGGAGACCGTTAACATCCGCCTGAGCCGACAACAAGCGCAGAAACAAGGTGGGGCCTGAGCTGCGATTTACAGTTTGAAATCCATCAACAGAATCCCCACGAAAAATAGAAAGCAAAAAAAAAACAACGTATAACAAAAGCCCAGGGAATGGTTTCTGTGTTTCTGTCACAAACTGATCATTAGAGTCAACGTCAATCAGGGGCCAGAGATTTTCTCTTTTTTTAAAAAAAAATCAAGCAAATGGCAAAGAATCAGGTCAACGTGCTGACGGGTACCATCTGTTGAGGAAGGAGATTTATTAGCGCCCTGTCTGCCAACCATCTGATGGGAAGCTGCTGGAATGCCTGGGAGCTACTTGCACACACCCGGCCCCTCGTCCATCTATCCATCTAAGCGAGTATTGCAGGGCAGCCGTGTGTTGTGGTAAACGACGAGCAATATATCGTACTGGTTTGTGTTTAATGGAACTACAGGCTTGTAAATGACAGAGCAGGGGCTCCTGGCAGGGGAGGGAAGGGGTCATCCCTGTGTTAAGACAGGCTCCTGGGCAACTCTTGCTGTCGGATTACTTGAGGTTGTAGGGTTTAATGGAGAGGTGCCTGGTTTTGTTCTATTGGGGTTGGGCACAACAACAACAACGACGACGACGACCATTTGCATTTATGTAGCGCCCCGCACGCAGGTTAGCTCAGTGTCCAACCCCTTGCCTGTAAAGTGCTCCAAGACACTGCCCCACGTGGAGGCTGCCGGTCCAGGAACAATCCTGATGTAATTACCGTAACTTTTCTGAACAGTAAATTCACCCGAGATCCTGGGAACAAGTCAGTTGATTTGCCACTGTCGAACAGTACAATGTAGGGGGACAGTGACCCCTAGGGGTCACCATAGATAATTATTATATTATAATTAGTATTATTATTATAGATAATTCCATCCGACACAGTTCAAAAGCTCCTGAGCTGACCTTTGGCCGGTGTAGCGTGGAGATGGTGTACAGAGCTTTGCACTGCTATCACATAACCGTAATCCTACTACATGATAGCATTACTATTGTTGTGATAGTGTTGCAATGAGAGCTTTGCCATCATACAACAACAATAATGCCTTTCATAGAGGGAGCACATACACTCCCAATGTCATTGCAATTCAATTCAAATTTAATCAGGTGGACGCGCGGTGTAGGGGAATGTCCACTGGGAGGCGCTGTCAGGAGCCGCTGGAATAAGGCCAGTGATTCACGTATAAAGTCCTCTTCTATTCTCCACGGTAAACGACAATGTTCTTATCGGTTTCGTGCACCTTCACTTCATACAGAAGCCCGACTGGGAGACACTGCTGAAGCCTGTCCCAGATGTACACGGCTATATTCTCTGTGGTGCTAGAGGGAGAGATCAGAGTGGGATTATTACCGCGCCAACAACTGGGTTCCTACTCACTGCTGGTAAACAGAGGCGTGTGGAGTAAGGAAACTTGCCCAACGTTTCTCCCTGCCTGGGAATCAAACCCGGGTCCTCTCGCTTGCGAGGAAAGTGCTCTAACCACCGAGCTACAGGACCCCACAAAACTACAGCAGTTACATCAACACACACTCTGGGGTCCCCAAGACTTGGTTCTGACCAACCAGCACCTAATACTGTCTGGAATCAGGGAAGCAGAGTGCTCGCTTACAGATAGGTAAAGGGAAGTCTGCTCACTAAAACACTTGTTAATCACCTAATGCGCAAAAAAATTAAAGACACGCAAACATGTGTTAAAATGTCAATTTAAGCTAAAAAAAACACTGGACCACAAACTCACCTCACAACGTTGGCAAAGTAGGGGACATCTTTATCCAGGTTTTTATGGTCTAATGGCTTCATGATGGCGTCCTGTTGAAAGATAAAAGCCTACAGTCACCCTGTGCTGGAGATAGCAGCTCCTAATATTTCAACGTCACTGAGATAATGTCCTCTCCTCACTAACAATCAAGCACAAGAACATCACCTGGGGCTTTACTTTTCTTGGAACAGGCAAGCAACAGACCGGCCTAACTAGCTGACCAAGTCCAACAGGCAATGATGACCTGTGGCTCAACTGATGGTCCCAATACTTGGTACATGGAGTGTTGAATGGTTTGGGTATTGTCGTGTCCGGTTACTGGGTTACCAGCTTGTTAGTGTTGCTCGTCAGAACGTTAGTGGACGTGTTTCACTGGGTAACAGTGCAAGAAGCAAATCTTTTGTCTCCCATTTTCTCACCTGAAGGTGCTGCTTGAGATCAGTGAGGTTAATAACCATTCCAGTCTTTGGGTTGACCTGAAAATACATGTAAAATGGTACAAAGGGGCCGAACAGCTGAACAAAATGTTTTATTTCAGACGTCGACTAAACCTGAAACTGCCTTGAGATGCCGCCTGGCGTGAAGGGCGCTATGTAAGTGCAAGATGTTGTTGGTGTTGTAATTGTCCCGCTCGACACACCTACAGGCCCCTCCCCCCCCCGCCCGGTCTCCTCACCCACTAACTCTGACCCCTAACTGTATCAACCTCCCCCGCTGCTCACGTCATCTCGTCATCAATGTCACCCCCACTTTCTGGAACTCCTTCCCTCTCACTCGCCCCCTCTCCTCTGCCCTCTCCCAGCCCACCTCACGACTTACCTTTGTGCCCGAGCTGCCGCCACCTTCCAAACATTCTACATCTCGCGTTAAACACCACAGAGGCTGATAATGCACATAATATTAACAACAAACCGTACAGCATCATACAATCAATGCCAGAGAGACATACCTCCCCACGTACTGTGACCTCCACTGAAATACACAAACAACAGGCACCAAGTTACCACTGACAGAAAATTAAATAGCCAGGTTGTGCGTTTAAGTCTCATGTCGGGTTTGAGGCTGATGCTGTGCGCGCACGTGTGAGTGGGGGGGGGGGGGGGGGGCTGCATCGTTAGTCGATTGGCGATTGCTTTTCAGGGGTAACAAACCCTTAAAAAAAAATAATAATCATTTGGTCACTAAATAAAAGGCTGTTTGTGGGGACGTCGCTGTGCGCAATTCGCTGCCGTGTTTCGCCCACAAAATATACAGTCAATTCACTTTACAGTGTATCCTGTGAAGCGCTGTGAGACATCTCGAAGACGTGATAAGGCGCTCTATCAAATGCGAGGACTATTATTATTAATAATTCCACGGTCTCAGATTTTAATATAAAATGTGCCGATGTGTGTCCCACGTTCACTGACCTTTGTAGTTGTGGCCGTGGCCGTTAGGATTGTTACATTTTCCGAATATCCTCTCGTTCTCCTCCGCACTCAGAGAATCACTGAAAGACAAGTCGATGGTTTACACAACGAGAAAGTTGGACTGTTGCCAGGATCGGATCTCACGGGTTGATGCCCTTCCCTATCCAGTCACGTGTTGTCAGCCAGGTTTCACACACATTACAACCACATTTCTGCAAGATCACAAGCGATACTCTGGTGGATAAGGCCCTTCGACCAGTTTGACCTCTTCTTTCCAGAATATTTACCCACTGTCTTCTGGTTACAGCATCGACCTGCTTCTTAAATGTCTGCCAGTGTCCCGGCCTCAACCAAACCTTCCCGGAAACTTTTAATAATATTAATATAATAACAATAATCCTGGCATTTGATACAGCGCCTTATCACATCTTCGAGACGTCTCAAAGCGCTGCACACAATACATTAAAGTGAATTGACTGTATTGTATATCTTGTGGGTGACAAACAGCAGCCATTTGCGTCCAGCGACGTCCCCACAAACAGCCGTGGATTGGGTGACCGAATGATTATTTTTTCTTGAAGGGATTATGCAGAGTTCTGAATGACCTGCAGTGTGGAGGGAGGGCCGGGAAGGCCGACGAGGAGAGAGTTCCCATAGTCCAGCCTTGAGGTGACAAAGGCGTGGACCAGAGTTTCAGCCGCGTGAGGGGTGAGGGAGTGCCGTAGTCTGGCGATGTTCCGGAGGTGATGGAAGGCGGTGCCGGTTGTAGTGCGGATGTGAGGGAGAAAGCTACACTGCACGTTAGTTACAGGATTATTCGTATCACCGGCGAATGTGCACAGTCTGTGCACTAATCCCCTGACCACACTGTGTGTAACTCTATAATCACAGCTCTGTAACACAGCCCTACAGCACAGCTGTGTGTGTGTGTACAGAGACCATCAGACACACCCCGAGGGGAACAGGATTGTGTTCCTCTCTCTCTGTGTCTCCCTGTGTGGAGCAGTGACAGCACATGCAGGCAGGTCTGTGTCTGTCTGTGTGTCTGTCTGTGTGTGTGTGTGTCTGTGTGTCTGTCTGTGTCTGTGTGTGTCTGGGTGTGTCTGTGTGTCTGTGTGTCTGTCTGTGTCTGTGTGTCTGTCTGTGTCTGTGTGTGTCTGTGTGTGTGTCTGTCTGTCTGGGTGTGTCTGTGTGTGTGTCTGTGTGTGTGTCTCTCTGTGTGTGTGTCTGTGTGTGTGTCTGTCTGTCTGTCTGTGTCTGTCTGTGTCTGTCTGTGTGTCTGTGTGTGTGTCTGTGTGTCTGTGTGTCTGTCTGTGTGTGTCTCTCTGTGTGTGTGTCTGTCTGTGTGTGTCTCTCTGTGTGTGTGTCTGTCTGTGTGTGTCTCTCTGTGTGTGTGTGTGTCTGTGTCTGTGTGTGTGTGTCTGTCTGTGTCTGTCTGTCTGTGTCTGTGTGTCTGTCTGTCTGGGTGTGTCTGTGTGTGTGTCTGTGTGTGTGTCTCTCTGTGTGTGTGTCTGTGTGTGTGTCTCTCTGTGTGTGTGTCTGTGTGTGTCTGTGTGTGTGTGTGTCTGTCTGTGTCTGTCTGTGTGTGTGTCTCTCTGTGTGTGTGTCTCTCTGTGTGTGTGTGTCTCTCTGTGTGTGTGTGTGTGTGTGTGTCTGTGTCTGTCTGTGTGTGTCTCTCTGTGTCTCTCTGTGTGTGTGTGTGTGTGTGTCTGTCTGTGTCTGTCTGTGTGTGTGTGTCTGTGTGTGTGTCTGTCTGTGTCTGTCTGTGTCTGTGTGTCTGTCTGTCTGGGTGTGTCTGTGTGTGTGTCTGTGTGTGTGTCTCTCTGTGTCTGTGTGTGTGTGTGTGTGTCTGTCTGTCTGTGTCTGTCTGTCTGTCTGTCTGTCTGTGGGGGCTCTCAGTGTTTGCCTTTAGTTCTGAGCAAATAACAAGTGGGAGAGATCGGGTGGGGATTGCGAGGCCCCGACAGCACAGCGGCCTCTGAGCTTCCAGTCTCTCTGTGTGTAACACAACAAACACAGCCCAAACCTGACACCAACCAGGAGTGAGGGGGCACTGCCCCTCACAGGCCCTGGGCACTGCCCCTCACAGACCCTGGGCACTGCCCCTCACAGACCCTGGGCACTGCCCCTCACAGACCCTGGGCACTGCCCCTCACAGACCCTGGGCACTGCCCCTCACAGAGAGACAGAGACACAGACACAGGCCCTGGGCACTGCCCCTCACAGACCCTGGGCACTGCCCCTCACAGAGAGACAGAGACACAGACACACAGACACAGACCCTGGGCACTGCCCCTCAGAGGGTCCCTGTGAGAGAGACAGAGACAGAGAGAGACACAGAGACAGAGAGAGAGACAGAGAGAGACACAGAGACAAAGAGAGGAGAAACACACACAGAGGTTTGGTTAATAGCGAGAGATTTACTGTATGTCCTGAATCAGCTTTGCTCTCTCTCTCTCTGTGTGTCTCTGTGTCTCTCCCCCTCACCCCCTCTCTCTCTCTGTGTGTCTCCCCCTCACCCCCTCTCTCTCTGTGTGTCTCCCCCTCTCCCCCTCTCTCTCTCTCTCTGTCTCCCCCCCCTCACCCCCTCTCTCTCTCTCTCTCTCTGTGTGTCCCCCCTCTCCCCTCACCCCCTCTCTCCTCTCTGTCTCCCCCCCCTCACCCCCTCTCTCTCTCTCTCTCTCTGTGTCTCCCCCTCACCCCCTCTCTCTCTCTCTGTGTCTCCCCCCCCTCTCCCCCTCACCCCCTCTCTCTCTCTCTGTGTCTCTCCCCCTCTCCCCCTCACCCCTCTCTCTCTCTCTGTCTCCCCCCCTCACCCCCTCTCTCTCTCTCTCTCTCTCTGTGTCTCCCCCCCTCACCCCCTCACCCCCTCTCTCTCTCTCTGTGTCTCCCCCCCCTCTCCCCTCACCCCCTCTCTCTCTCTCTGTGTCTCCCCCCCTCTCCCCCTCACCCCCTCTCTCTCTCTCTGTCTCCCCCCCCTCACCCCTCTCTCTCTCTCTCTCTCTGTGTCTCCCCCACTCCCCCCTCTCTCTGTGTGTCTCACACTCACCCCCTCTCTCTCTCTGTGTCTCACACTCACCCCCTCTCTCTCTCTGTGTGTCTCCCCCCTCTCCCCCCCTCTCCCCCCCGTCCTTACCTGTGGAGGCGGTGACACGCGCTGAAGCGCTCCACCCGAGTGAGGAGCGCTGTCCTGGAGCGGTGTGTGTGTGTGTAGTGGTCCATAGCTGTGACTGGCACAGTGCCCCCTGTGCCCCCCTCCCCCTGTGCCCCCCTCCCCTCCCCCTGTGCCCCCCTCCCCTCCCCCTGTGCCCCCCCACCCCTCCCCCCGTGACAACCAGGAAGAGAAGCCTCAGCCTCAGCACAACACAGTCCCAGTCACCGGATTAATGGGCGTTTGTTAATCATTTGCATCATCAAAACCTTCCATCATCCGCACTCTCACTGCTCCTGATCCGCACACCCCACACACACACCCCCACACACACACCCCCCCCACACACACACCCACCCACCCACACACACCCCCACACACACCCCCCACACACACCCCCCCCACACACACCCACCCACCCACACACACCCACACACACACCCCCCCCCCACACACACACACACACCCCCCCCACACACACACCCCCACACACACACACACCCACACACACACACACCCACACACACACACACACCCCCCACACACACACCCCCCACACACACCACCCACCACACACACACACCCACACACACACACCCCCCCCCACACACACACCCCCCCCCCCACACACACACACACACCCCCACCCACACACACCACACACCCCCCCCACACCCCCCACCCCCCCCACCCCCCCACACACACACACACCCCCCCACACATGGGCTACTAATGTGAATCCACCTGTTAGTAATTCTTATTCTTATCCATATCATAATAATATGATTATCAATTCTTATTGTTATTGCATATTCTAATTCATAGTTAATGTTATTCGGGCATCGCATCACTATCGGTGCTGTTCACTACAAATAATGATTAATAACAATTAATAATGTGAACGTACTAATGATAATAATTATTACTGAGAGCGCCTGTCAGACCCAGTGAGCATTCCCGGCTGGTGCCGGGATCTCCTCAGAGAGTCCAGCCTCCCCGTGTCAATGCCGTTCCTTGTTCTTGTCTTATCTCCGCCCCGACTGAGCCTCCGCTGACCCCGGGGATAGAGATGAAGCTCTGGATGCAACGAGTTCATGGATTTGCAGAAGCTGAGACTAGTCAAAGGCTTGTGTGGGTGGAAAGCTCTGAGACGTCCCTACAAATAGGCTCACTGCTGGCGCCTGGACTGATGTACAGCAACGACGACGAGGAGATTGGGATGGGGGGAAATCTGAGGGGGCGAGGGCGGTTAGGATGAGTGAAACTTGGGAAGGGGGGAGGTTGGGACGAGAGGTGGTTGCGATATATATACATAAATCTAGCAGGGTCAATTCACTTTACAGCGTCTCCTGTGAAGCGCTTTGAGACCTCTTAATGACGTGATAAGGCGCTGTATCAAATGCAAGGATTATCGTGATTATTACGCTGTAGCAATACCATTCCCGCCCTGTCAAACAGTAGACAAAAACAACTCAGTTTTAACCAGACACTTTACTTAAGAATCCGCCTATGCACACACATCAGCTGTGATTGATTTTTTTTTCTATGAAATTCGCAGCCACCCACTTAACGCCAGTCCTGAAGATGCCAGCCCTAATGCCCTCTAATCCACAAAGCTTAATCCGTGCCTTAAACCTGCCTCTCCTGCTCAGATCAGCAGTTTGTGCAGTGCCGGGAAGAAGACTGAAGAGGAAAACAACACAAAGACCTTCCCTGTGATTTCCTCCTTGGCTTCCTGTGGAAATGGGGAACAGTAAGAGCGGAGCGCTGTCCAAGGAGCTCCTGGAAGACCTCAAACTGAACACCAAATACACAGAGCAGGAGCTGAGCGCCTGGTACCAGTCCTTCCTGAAGGAATGCCCGACCGGTCGGGTCACCGAGGCCCAATTCCAGAAGATCTACTCCAGTTTCTTCCCAGACGCTGACCCCAAGGCTTACGCCCAACATGTCTTCAGAAGTTTCGACGCCAACAGCGACGGGACCTTGGACTTCAAGGAGTTTATCATAGCCCTGCACCTCACGTCTTCGGGCAAAACCATCCACAAACTGGAGTGGGCGTTCTCTCTCTACGATGTGGACGGCAACGGCACCATCAACAAAAGCGAAGTGCTGCAAATTGTCACGGTATCAGAAGCATTTCCTTAAACCCAGTAATGGACAGGTGGTGTCTTATTGCGAGCTTGTTTTGATCAGGGCACTAGATTGCTTTTTTTACCCCTGTTCCCCCCTCCTTACCTCCCCCCCCCGCCCATCCCCACCCCCTTAAGACATGCAGGTCAAGGTTGGGTACGATCTCAATATTTCTTCCCAAACTTTGAACCTATTTCATTGTAAAAGGTTAGTAGTTTTCAGTGAGGTGTTGGAACCCGGTGTTAAGAGTGTGGAGCAATGTTACAGCATCTTTCACGTCGGGAGGACATCTCAAAGTGCCTCGAGCTGACTGGGAGCCTGAAATGGGGGTGTGTGACAAGGGTACCATGAGGGGGTTTGGAAAGAAAGGTCTTAAGGTGGGACTTGAAGGTGGGGAGGTAAGGGAGCGAGGCCCAACACCATAGGGGAGAGGGTAATTGAAACAATACTTAATAATCCCAATTATTATTATCATCCTCCCATTTGATTTAGTGCTTTCACTTTGGGAGGACGTCTCAGAGCACTTTGTGGGATACAGTGTAAAGTTAGCGACCTGTTGGATACACTGCAAAGTGAATTGACGGTGTATTTTGTGGGCGAAACAGAGTAAATCTCGACACAGATGGGATTTCTCCCCATCGCTTTGTGTGAGCCCCGGGGAATACACAATGGGTCGGAGAGCCCTGCCTTAATTTCGACATTCAGCATTGTGACAAGTGTGTCTTTATTCCAGGCAATATTTAAAATGATCAATTCAGAAGACCAGAAGAGCTTGGCAGAAGATGAGAATACACCTGAGAAAAGGACTGATAAAATCTGGGAATACTTTGGAAAGAAAGAAAACGGTAAAATAATCATTGCCGTTAAATAAGATTTAATCGTTATCAGTCGCTTACATTTTTAATCGATTAAAGGTGCTTGAATCTGTTGTCAGGATTTTTATGTACTAATTGTTTTACTGATTTATTTATTGATGCTACACAGAATATACTCACGGAATATACTGTAAAGTGAATTGACTGTATACTTTGTGGGCGTAATCTAGACCCAGGTCTAATTTCCAATCAATTGTTCATTGCAGATGAAAGTGCGTGCACAGGAGAATTGTACACGGGGCCAATAATAATTAGTTGTATCTATTCTGTAATAAGAACTATAGTATTGTGTGCTGTGCTCCACCTTCAGTGGCTGTGGTTTCAGCCACAACATCTCTAAAACTCTAAACACAATTATGTTTATGGCAGGTAACGTTCTGAATAAATTACTTTTCATTTTTATTAAACCCTCCGAGATGCTACCCCGAGTGAAGGGCACTATATAAATGCCAGTGGTTTGCTTGAAGCGAGATAGAGGAATTAAAAAATAATTCCATGACTGTTCGTGGGACGCTGATGTGTGCAATTGGCTGCCCACAAAATATACAGTCAATTCACTTTACAGTGTATCCTGTGAAATGTATTTGAGACGTTTCGAAGACATGATAAGGAGCTATATAAAATGCAAGGATTATTATTATTATTTTAAAAAAATAGCATTCACAAGCTTTACAGTCTGAAAATGACAAATTTAAAATGGACATTCAATAGATATATTATTGTGCGCTTGCTGTTCGCAGGTAAACTGATTTCAACAGCAGAAATATAATGAAAAATGGGATTTATACATTTCTGTCTTTTTAATGTCCTTTTTTTTCTCTCCCCATCCACAACAGATAAACTCTCAGAAGGTGAATTTATTCAGGGCACCATGGAAAACAACGAAATTCTCAGACTGATTCAATTCGAGCCCCAGAAAGTGAAAGAGCAACTAAAGAAAAGGAACCAGTAAATCGTCGCTCGCTCGGGAGGGAAAACGCACTTAAAAAAAAAGACTGTTTGGAGCAGCACTGTTTACAAACGACATTTCTGCACAGAGGTAGAGTTAGAACACATTTAATTCATCCACATGTCGCATTGCGCCTCACCTTAACATTAATACACACACACATTTACACACAAAGCAAGTTGTATCCCCCAGTGAATGTGATTAGGTTTCCACATAATTCTCACCTTGTGCTTAAAGTCCCTTAATCCTTAAAGTCACCTCACCGAAATCATTTACTGAAACCCACACAATTACTTTGATGGAAGGTAAGATTCTGAAATAAATTACTTTGCATCGTTACCTGTGACTCCGCATGTCTTATTGTACGGCACTGACCCGAATTGCAACACTCTGGTCTATTGAGCACCAGGCCTGAGGATAATGGCTAAAACATAGAGGTAATTAAGAGTAATAAAAGGGTTAATAAAATCTAGGTGTAATTAGGGTCCCCCGGTTTATTACAAAACCCAGATTGATCCAAACCACCCTAAATGATTGATTCCTAATCATGTTGGGAGGGGTGGTTGAGGTGAAATTTATATTGACCTTCAAAAGGCAACGAGACAGATACCTTAACAAGAGTCAGCTACAGGGGCAAACATACACTAAATAATAATCCTTGCACTTGATACAGCGCCTTATCACGTCTCAAAGCGCTTCACGGCATATCCTGTGAGTTGAATGTTCATTTGTGGGCGATTGTGGGCGATTGTGAGGTGTGGGGAGAGGGCAGGTAAATAGCACTGATTGCTCTTGAGGGAGCCAGCACAGACACGATGGGTCGAATAGCCTTTTACTGTGTGTAAATTTCTACGGTGTGTCTGACTCATCGCCGAGTCTTGGGGGAACCGGCCGTGTCATTAGCCACACATGCCCAGGGCAGGGCTGTCCCAGTTCAGCCCCGTGCCCTGGGATCCTCAATCTAAACCGCCTGCTGACTATTTATATTCCTTAATCTTCGATGTTCTATTCAAATCCGACCAGGCTTACAGGAGGAAAAAGCTCCTCTGCCCTTAATACTGCTCTTTAAATTTTCACGTGACGAGCAGAAACACCAACAACAACGTGCATTTACACAGTGCCCTCTCAGGCAGGCTAGCGCCCCAGAGCGCCTGACGGTGACAGGGCACAACCCCGAGCCGGGGGTGGGGGGGGGTAGGTGACCATAGGCACGGTCGATCAAAGAGGAAGGTCTTCAGGCGCAACCTGAAGATAGGGAAGGAAGTGGCGAGGGGGAGGGAGGGATAGAGGAAGATGTTTCCAGTATTTCGGGGTGTAGTGGCTGAAAGTGCGGCCGAGGATGCAAGAGACACCCAGGAGGCTGGAATCAGTTGAGCAGAGGCAATGGGTGGTGGGTTGGGGAGTAAGCAGGTCGGAAAACCCATCTTGTTTTTTTTCTAAGCTGCTTTCGCACCAGACCCCGAGCCCAGCCTGATCCAGGCCTGGCGTGGTAGTGGACGGGTTATTTTTCCAATTAATGTGAAGTGTTTTTAGATGTAGCGACGTGATCCGGTGCTGAGATGCAAGAATGCAGGTTCTTATATCAAATGCAAGGATTATTATTATTATTATTATTATTCTTTCACGACAGCACCTAGAGGGTAAGGTGCCAGAATTTTGCCAAGCTGCTGTGCCAGTCATTCTTGTTTAGCCCTGGGAGGGTGACAACAAGCCCGTTGTAAGAGGTATTTCCCCGCTCAGCCTAGTTTTGCGCACGACGCCAGGTGAGGTCAGGGCAGATTTGCTGAGATTAAACTAAACATTAAGAAGCTTTCAGAAATGTTTGCGGCAAAAGAGATCAATGTACAGCGTGAGTGTCAGCAACGTGACCCTGGCTGGACACATGATTGACACGGATAGAGAGAGAGAGAGAAGCCAGGGGTTATTCTGTGTAAGACAGGCGTGTGGAGGGAGCTGTGGGTGGGGTGGGGGGGACGGTGTTTAAAAGGTGCAAACAAGTGCCATTCGTGTAGTTTAATCATCTTCAGACACAGCTCGAAGCCCACGACCTTTGTAAAAAATATCACTCAAAATATTACAGTATATACATGACTTGTATATACATCTTTGTACATTAAAAGCCACCCTACGCCTTGTGCAAATAAAGCCCACTTTGGTTTGCCGTATCTACAGGCAGTGTTGCTGTAGCTGAGGGGTGCGGAGAAAGGAAACTCATCCAGAGAGGGCAGAAGTTGGGTTTGGTATTGTTGCCCACTTTGGCTGAGACACAGACCAGACTTGATGCCTCCCTGCAAACGCAAATCGCGACCACTTGGAGGACATCTGTTGCCTGTGCCACCACAACCCAACAAACTGGCTCGGCAACAATCTCCCGAGTGGAAACGTGGCGATTTTGCTACTCATCCCAAGTCACCCACATCACTTAACTATTTACAGCAGAAAGTGCCGGGGTCGGACATGCGGAATATTCCTCAATACGTGCGGATCAACGCGACACCTTCCAGGAACTCTGCTCCCGAGCCATCCACGTCTTGACGGGAATTCCCACGGGATTTCTTATTAAGAAGCAGTGCAATCTGGGCCCTGGTGATGCCGGCGACATGTCAAGCTTGACATCAGGCCTGGGATAGGGCCCTCAGCAGCCAATATCCTGTAACCCGCTCACTGCCCTGGGATGAGCACTGTTCTCCGTGCAGCAAGTTACAAATAACTCGAATACAGTGCAAACAGCATGACAACAACAACAACTTGCTAGCGTCCAGGAGAGCTTGGCACCCTGCCTTATGACACAGTGGCACATTGCCAGGTGTGAAAAACAGGGTGACTCCACGTTCCCCGATTTCCGAGGGACAACCATCCACCTGAACAGGCACAGACGGGACCTCGGTTGTAAATCTTATCCAAAGGCCGGGACATCAGACCAGGTGGGGCTCCCCCCAGCACCACACTGGAGCGTCAGCCTGGACCATACGGGTTCCAAGTCCCGTCGTGGATGCTGAACCCACAACCTTCTGACTCGGAGGTGAGAGTGCTACCCACTGAGCCAGGCTGAATTGGTTTTACTCCCGTCTCCAGTCGTGCTGTATTGCGTCCCTGGCTGAATTTGTCCCGTCTTGAGCTCAGCAACAAAGTGAGCGCGTACAATACAATCCCTTTACCACCCTGTTATGTAACGGAGGAACGGGCTTGAGGGGCTGAACGGACCTCCTCCTGTTCCTGCCTGTGCAGATGGCAATTAGGCAGAAACCTTACCACATGGGGAAGGAGAGCGATCAGCCCAGAGCAACAAGTGCGCTACAGGCAGAGCTGAACGCCAGGCTCCCCGTGTTCCTGCTATAGTTGGCTCTCCCCCAGGGCCAGGAACCCCCCGCTGCTCTCGGGCTGCGTGGCCTGGGGGAGGGGGTCCAGTGGGATGCCTTTGTGCCCCAGCAGGTCGCTGCCGGGGGGTACACTAAGCTGCACGCTGGAGGTGCGAGTGTCGCTGTAGTAGCTGCTGCTGTTGAGGTAACTGTTGCTGTTGGCCCTCTGCTTGGGCCGCCTGCCGAGCTGCTTAAAGTGCTTCCCCAGCAGGCAGCCCCCGCACTCAGAATGATTCACCATCAGCCAACACCTCCAGCGCATCTTCAGCTCAGCCTGGACCTGGGACAACGACAAACACAACAGCAACCGTTTTGTAATGGCAGCACCAGCCCTGGCATTTGACACAGCGCCTCATCACATCTTCGAGACGTCTCAAAGCGCTTCACAGGATATGCTGTAAAGTGAATTGACTGTGTATTGTGGGCGAAACGTGTATATTTTGTACTTAAACATTCACACAAACACACACACACACACACAAAGGAGGGGTGAAGGAGGAGGTGACCGTAAGTACGGTCGAAGAGGAAAGTCATCAGTCTTGATCTAAGGAGAGGGTGAGGCGGAGGGATTGAGGGAGCGAGTTCCAAAGCTTCGGTGCGTTGTGGCTGAAAGCACGGCCGCCGATGGTAGAGCAGAGGGGACGAGGGACGAGCAGGAGGCTATTTGTGGGGACGCTGCTGTGCACAAGGGACTGCCGCGATTTACCCACACAATTCACTTTACAGCGCTTTGAGACGTCGTGAAGACTTGATGAGGCGTTGGGTCAAACGCAAGGATTATTATTACTATCATTACTATAAATCCCGAGTGTGTAAGGTGACGGGAGTCCAATTGGCCGATGGATGATGGTCAACAATGTGGCTTAGTGCGATATGCTGCACGTCCTGTAGAGGGAGCTCTTGTAGTACATCAGCGCCCATTAACACAGCGAGGACTGATGTGGACCTCATCTCTCATCAGAATTTAATAATAATAATCCTTGCATTTGATGGCATTTATATTGTAAGCTTCATGTCTAGGAGCGCTTCACACTGGTCGGTGGGTGGGTGGGCGGTGGCTGAGTGGTGGATGTGGGATGGGGGGAAATGCCCCCGTTTGCGCGAGTTAACGAACCGGGCGGAGTTGGGGGGAGGGGGGAACGGAGGTAAAGGAGCGAGGCAGGACAGAGGGAGGTGTTAGTGTGGGCCTGGAGTTATATCTTACCTCTCCGTTGGTGAAACAGTACAGCACAGCCACTAGAAAGCCCTGCCGACAGCAAGAGAGAGAGTGTGTCACTGGTCACATAATCAGTGCGGCTCAGGATGACCTGGCTTTAGCCTGTGAACGTCGTGGTTTTGTCTTAAACTTGAGATCATGTGGAAAATTCTCAAATCCAGCTTTAATTTGAGAACTGTTTCTCCGCATGTTCTTAACGTGAAGCGGCTTCCAGAGTTAAGCTGTGGATTTAAGAGTTTTCCCCACTGCTGCACGATTTGAAAGGCAAAAGGGACTCACAGGCTAAGACTAGGTGGAATTTCGGGCTTCCGTTCGCCACAGTGGCCGTGAATCCCATGGTTTATCACTTTTTCAAAAGCCAACGAGTTGGTAAGGATTAAAATGAACCGATTTCATTGTTGCAAAATGGAGAATCACTTTGTGTGCTGACGCTTCAGTAAACATAGGAACGAGAGGAGGCCATTCAGCCCCTCGAGCCTGTTCCGCCATTCTATAAGATCATGGCTATCTCCAATTACCTGCCCTTGCCCATATCCCTTGATACCCTGGCCTAACAAATATCTCTCCACCATAATTAATGATAAAGAACTAATAGTTATTATTGTTATCAGTGAACAATCGTGCATTTCAAAACCTTTATGGAGACAGACTTAGATCCTGAGCCACTGACTCGGGAACATTTATGTGTCCTGTTGACATAACCTCCAACACCCCCTTCACAGTGAGCAATCCTATTAACACTGTCAAAGTGCATTAAACGCCAAGTCACCGGCAACTTCCCACTCAACACCTCTACCATCATCATAATAATCCCTTGCGTTTGATAAAGCGTCTACGAAGTCAAAATGCCTCAAAGTGCTTCACAGGGAAATTGCTATCAAGTGTAGCCACTGTGTATTTGTCTCAAACCAGTGGGTAAATTGCCAGGAGTTTCTCCTGGCCTCCCGGCCACCAGATCCTCCAAATAAGATTGCTCAATTGTTTCATGGTTGTTTGTGCAAATTGATTGCTGTGTTTGCCTACAAAATACACAGTCACTTCAATTCACAGTGAATCCTATGAAGCATTTTCAGACATTCTCCTGATTTGAAAGGCACTACACCACATGCAAGGATTATTACTATTACAAAGTGGTTTTAGCTGGTTAGAATCCAGCAGATACCCCAACGCACACTCTGGGGTCCACAAGCCTTGGGTCTTGCCAACCTGCGCCTAATACTTTCCGGGATTAGGTAAGCAGGATGTGTCCCTCCAGGGAAAGAGAGGGAGAGAGAGAGCGCATTCCTTCCAACAATCTATCTCTGGAATCTCCATTTGTAGGTGTAAATGCATGGAATTCTCCGTTTGGTTTGGAGACTGTTAAGCATGGGGATGGGCTTCCATGCGTATTAGACACGCGGCTGGGGGAAAACAAATGATAAGCAGCTGTGAAATGATCCAGACACCGGGTACCTGGAATGAGCTGATCACCAACTGCAGGAAAAGCCGGATATGTCGGAGCAATCCCTCCACATGCTCGTCCATCAGGAAAATAAACACCAACTCATGGATTCCTAGGAGCGGGATCAGCACCAAAGTGGACCTGGCCAATCTGGGACAAGGAGATGCCATGCGTTAGGAGGTAGGTCACTGATAGAGTTGGCTTACACAATCTATTCCCTCACCTGTGACAGACATCGAACGTCTTGTATTCTTCTTGAATCAGCAAAGTAAAGAAAGAAAGAGGGAAGGAAGGAAGAAGAACAAATCCACCAGGTAGTGAGGAAAGTTACTGAGAAGATACCAACTTGGGAAAGGTTATTTGAATGTAGAGTTATCTCAGCCAAGCCTGGCTACGGGGGGAATATTCCGTTCTCCCCTATCCTCACATCCAAGGAAACTTTTCCCAAGGTCTGGTGGTGTGTGTGTGTGTGTATGGGGGTGGGCGGGGGCGGGGGGGGGCTCTGTTGGCGAGCTGATGCATTTGATTTCATCTTCTAAGACCTGACAAAGACAATATTAAGCATTGTAGCATCGTGCATAAACTCGCAGCATCAAACAACAGAAACCTCTGTGTTTATTTAAGTGCCGTACAAGGTTAACAGGTGGAAAAGCTCCGACACCGAGATTTGAACACTTGCTTTATTGTACGTACAATGTAAGGCTTTCTTTGGTATTTTTCCACTATCTGTCTTTTCTTTCTTCAAACCAACAGCCCTTCTCTCCTCCATCCCCCAAACTGTCTAATCCCAATTGCCCATCAGAAACAGGAGGAAGGATGCTGGATAAATAAATCACTGAAGTCTATAAACGATAGGACAATTGGTATATGATGCAGAGACAATGCTTATGTGTCTAAATGTTTTGGTATGACGCTGGATCGAGCCGGGCAGCGAAAGAGGCCAGGCTTACGTTTGGGAAGATATCCGAGATATTTTAGACCCAATTTAAGAACGGGCCAACGATTTCTTCTAAAAGTCCACATTTCTTTAACCCATGCCTCTGCCTCACATGGTAGCAAGAACATCGAACCTGCCAGTCAGGTCATAATAATAATAATCCTTGCATTTGATATAGCACCTTATCACATCGTCTCAATGTCTCAAAGCGCTTCAAAGGAAATTGCTGTCAAATGTAGTTACTGTATATTTAGTCGGCAAATACTGCGGTTAATTTTCACATAACAAACAGCCATGAGGTAGATGTCCAGTTTATCTGAAGGATTATTACCCGGGTCAATGGGAGATGCTCTTCTCTTAATGAATAGTGTCTGAACAGGATGCGACTTTGGTTTAACGTCTCAGCCAAACGTCGCCACCTCTAACAATGCACTTGGATGCATTTAGTCACTCAATCCACGACTGTTTGTGGGACACTGCTATACGCAATTGGCTGCCACGTTTCGCCCACAAATATACAGTCACTTCACTTTACAGTGTATTCTGTGAAGCGCTTTGAGACGTCTCGAAGATGTGAAAGTGCTATAGCAAATGCAAGGATTAATTATTATTATTATTACAAATAACCTTCTGACTCGGAGGCAAAACTGCTACCAACCTGAGCCAGGGTGTCACCTGAAAAAAAGCCACACACACCTGTATTTGTAGTCACCAAATCTCATCTGTTGGGCTTGAAGCTTCGAAAGCAACATTTTCATGATTTTGAGGAAGAAATAGAAATTCATCTGTAAAATAGGAAACCACACGTCAGAGTTCATCAGCTGGGAACAACAGCAGCAAATTACATTTACTCTCAGCGATGAGAGCATCCCTGTTTGAGAGAGTGCACATTCCATTCCAGACACAAGGAGATTTCCAAGAGTAGGCAAAGGTATGTGGAACTCTCAATCCGGTTTGTATAATGATAGGCAATAGTCAGCCATCAAAACACAGAGGTAAAGGGCAGCAATATGGATTATCGAGCGGTGGGTACGTGAACAGATCAGTGCAATGTCAGAACTCTTCAGCACTTACGATAATCGCAATGGAAACTGGTCCTCTAATGATCCACCAAATCCACATGTTCACGTTTCTCCCCCAGCACCTGAAGAGCATGAACAACTGCCATTTACACACAACACAAGCGCCTTTCACGGCAGGAGGACGGGAGCCCGAGGTGCAAGTGAGGGAGGGTGTGTCGGGGTGGGAGGGGATCGGGGAAGATGACCAAAAACTCGGTCAAAAGGAAAGATGTTAAGACGGGCTTTACGTGGGCATGCTAAGCCACCTTATAAAATGCAAGGATCATTATGTGTCATTATTGCTTGTTTGCAATGCACAATGTGGGTGGTTTGGAAACTCCGGTCTGTCACCAACTATTTATGGAGCAGATGCTAACAGAATTCCTCGATAGGGACCATCCTTAATATGCTCTCGCGCCAGGAACCAATAATAATGTGGTCACTCAATCCACGACTGTTTGTGGGGACGCTGCTGTGCGCAATTTGCTGCCGTGTTTCGCCCACAAAATACACAGTCAGTTCACTTCACATTGTATTTCCGTGAAGCACTTTGAGATGTCGCAAAGACATGATAAGGCGCTGTGTCAAATGCAAGGATTATTATCTTACCCTTCATTTTCACTTGTGATCTTCGTTATGATCCAAGGCACAACAAACAGCACAGGGCACACTGCAGGGGGAAGTTGGAAGGGTTATTGCTGTGAGAGGTCTCTAATAGCTGACTTAACCCGAGTGGTGTCTAACGTTCGATGTTTGATAGACCATTTGACCCATTGAGTCTGAGCAGGTGACTCCCATACAAGAGCTTTCTGCTCTGTTCATTTCGCCCACAAAATACACAGTCAATCCACTTTACAGTACACCATAAGAACATAAGAATTTGCTGGTGAAAGAAGACCAAGGTCTATCCAGTTTGCCTTCCACCATCAAGACATACCATGTTCCAAACTATAGATTGTATCCCCAGATATTATTTCCTAACAGAAATCTATCTAATTTGAAGCGCTTTGAGACGTCTCAGCGATGTGTGATAAGGCGCTATGTAAAGTGAAGGATTATTATTGTCATTATTATTATTATTATTACAAAACCACTCACCCCATCCGATGAGGATGTACTGTTTCAGCAGGTTCTTCTCTGATAGCACGGCCAAGACAATCAGTTTGTGGAGGTAGATTCCTTCTACCAAAAGCCAAAAGAAATTGGCTCCAACAAAGTAGTGCATGAAGACCTGGGCCACCTTGCACCCATTGGAAATCTGGAAGAGACATTCTCCATCATAACAGGGCATTCAGATTGCATCGCAAACCCCATACAGTAAACTCCTGATAACTCATTGCTCCAAGGGAAAAGGGCTCAGTGATGATGTATCAGGAATGATGAGCCAGGCATATGTACAATAAATACATAAATAAATACAGCAGAGATATTTACAGCATGATGGCTTGAGTGATAGTTCTGCTCCTTCTGCTCCCATCACAGTTTGGGTGCCCAGACAGACAGACAGACAGACAGACAGAACGTGAAAGGCATTGTGTAAGTCCTAGTTGCCTTTGTAAAACACCAAGTGATGGGTATGGGAACTCTCCCATCGTTGACCTCAACTATAAACGCTAAGCCCTGAGAAAGGACAGCACTGCCTATTTTCATTGCAAGTTTAAAAATATATAGTTTAGAAAAAAAAGCGGAATGAAGTTTATGCAGGAAAGTTCAGTGACTCCAGTAAAACATATACCATTCCAGCTGAGAGTTAGTTTTTGGTCTGAGCCATGACTCATGGCTGAGCAAAGCAAAGCTCACAGAGTTTATTCTAATTATATAACCCTTTCTTGTGTGAGTCATTCAACTGAGCTCCTGACCGACCTGTGAATCTGTGAATGGACCTTAAGGAGGGTCCCAAAGCGACACAATTTTCTCCCATTTTCCCCTCTCCATCCCTATCCAAAATCCTCCCCCACCTTCAATAAAAGTCGGGTCAATTGTCTTCTTGTCGCATCACTGTTTTGTGGGGATGTTACTTTTGCAGATTAGTATCCTCACAAACTTTGCCAATCACGTCATGGCTGTTTGGGGATGTTGCTGTTCACAAATTGGCTGCTGCGTGAGCTGACATAACACACGGTCACTGTACTGTACAGTAAAACCCTTGTGAAGAGCTTGAAGGCATCTTCCCGACATGCAAGGCGATGTACTGAAACCTGAGGATTATCATTATTATTATTATATTCTTGTTGATAATAATATTATTGACATCTGCCACTTGCCTCCACGTTAAAGAAGGATATCCAGCCACTTTCATCATCTGGGCGTTTTGAGTAAGTGCTGTGGAGCAAAATGTCTTTGATGAGAACAGCCAGGGCTCTGAGCATGAAGGAGACGAACAGGTTCATATGGATGTAGTTCCGAGTGCAATGCAACTTCCTGCAGGTCAGATTGCACACCAAGCAAGACGTTAGCTTCCTCCTTCAAGGCACATCACTTGTTTTATCTCCAATGGAACCTCCTCTTCATCCGTGCCTTCGACCACCCTCCTACCCCTGCCCTCCCCACACTCCACCCCTCCTGATCCCAACCCCCAGCTCGGGTCCAAACCCCTGACTGTCCAGCACCTTGGGACGTCCTCCCGACGTGAAACTTGCCGTGTAAATGTCATTTGTCATTATTGTTGTTTGTTGGATTCATACAATTTACATCACAGGCTTTACAGGTTAAACTCAAACAGGTAATTGAACCACACAGAAAACAAACATTGCCTTTGTTTTAAACTAATTAGGAAAAGAGGAAATAATTACCTCTCTCATCCTCTTATTTAATTGCCAATGGGTTTTCTAACCCCCCGCCCCCCCCAACCTCACATACACAAACCCATTGACCAGGACTGCAATGGTAACATGACTGGAGCACAAACCTAAGCCACAGGAGTATGGCCATGGCGAGCGACAGAGAGCACAGTGAGAAGGAGTAGCCCACCGTGTAGATCAACTGGAGAGTGTTCAGTAACTTACGCTCATCCTCCTGCAAACAGAAAACACAACAACAGCTAAATGTGCATCAGGCTGACTCAATAGCAACACATTCGCCTCTCAGTCAGGGACTCGGAATCGCATGGTTTAAGCTGACGCTCCAATGCAGTGCTGAGGGGGGTGTTGCATTTTTGGAGGTGCCATCCTTTGGATGAAATGCTAAACTAAGGTCCCGTCTGCCTGTCCAGGTGGATGTTAAAGATCCCGCGGGGCTATTGGACAAGGGAAGAGAGTACTCTTCACCACTCTCCTGGTGTCCTGGCTGAAAATGCTCCTAAATAAAATCGGTCGCTCACTCAATGGAGGTTTGTGGGACATTGCTGTGCGCAACTGGGCTGCCACGATCACATACAAATGAGTCACTCAAATAAACTGGGATCCAGATCCTCTCGCTTGCGAGGCGAATGCTCTAAACACTGAGCTATAGGACTCCACGGAGAAGGTAAGAGGGATGCTTTAATCAGCACTACCCCTCTGTTAGAGGCACGGCACAGGGCTAGAGTGATTTACTGCTGGTTATTTTTAGTGTAAAGGGTGGAACTTTCACACAATAAATAACAGAGACGGCGGCAGGTGTGACAGTAACTCTTCAGGGTGTTTACACAGCGGTGCTGGAGCGAGAGTAACCATCTCTAGTGTTTTGGCACCGTTGGCAACAGATCCACTTACAGCCAGGCAGGGGTCCGGGTGAGGTTAGACAGAACATTTCACAGCGAGACTCATTAAAACACATGCCCGAACTTCTCACCTCGGCTCAGCTGCTAAGACCCATTTTTGTCTTCCAATGAATTCTCCGCACTCATGTCTTACACTACAATAGAGTTCACATTTACACCGCGCCTTTCATGTCTGGAGGACGTCTCAAGGTGGGGTCACAATGCTGGCTGGGAGAGCGAGGTAGATGGGGAGGGGTAAGGGTGGGAGGTGGGTGAGGAGGAGAGGAGAAAGATGGCCAAAAGCGCAGACAAAAGAGGTACATTTTGAGAGATAATAATAATAATAGTGCCTTTAAAAGAGGGGAGGGAGGGAGCGAGTCCAAGAGAGTCTGGGATAAACTTCCTGAACGTGGGGCAGAACATCTTAAAGCCCAACAGCCGAGGGTGGGGCCAATCGAGTGGGGAACACAAGGCAGGGCCGGTGCTCGCTGAGCGAAGGGAGTGGCCGGGTGGGTAGGGCTGAAGGTGGTGGTAGAGGGAGGGCAGGGCGAGAGTGTGGAGGATATAAAGGTGAGGACACAGGGAAGGGAAGGTTTGCCACGAGGGACATTTAAACTGACAGTCAGATCCTTACTTTCTTGGGGAGGCCATGGTTGAGTTCGGCACACTCCGAGTGGTTCCTCCAGATTTCCGTGGAGTTTGGGAGTGTCATCCAACTCCCATTCTCAAGGCAGTATCTGTGAGCCTTTGCCGTGCTGTCTGAAAGGAGCAGAGGGAATCCATTAGTTAGTTAGTTAGTGAGTTAGTTAGTGAGTGAGTTAGTTAGTAACAATAATAACATGCATGTACACACAGCGCCTTTCACACCAAATATTGTTCCAGAAACACACACAACAGCTACATTGCAGTAGCCACAACCCATAGAGGACAATGAGGTGAGCAGCCAACTGATTGGAAGTTGAGGGTAAATCTGGATAATGAGGGCGACAGAAAGCGGGTTAACAGGGAGAAAGGTGAGTGTGAGTGCGAGGGTGTGTGTAACTGTGTGCGAGTGTGTATGGTAACATACAAAGATGCCCCCAGCTCCAGTCAGGAGAAGTAGATAGGAAATAATTGGCACAAAAGGGAAAGAAGAGGAATTTTAATTGCTGGCTGTTCAGGCAGATTTACCACATATTTTAGTTTTGAGAGTCCAGCAGGATTTACTGTTTAAAAAGAGCAGACAGGAATTCTACCTCTTACAAGCCTACGTGTTCTATTCCATATAAAGACCAGGAGAGATGAGAGGAGGGAACGAACATGCAGAGATAATGCTTAGAGCAAAACACGAATCCAATATATTGTGAAATTAAAAACAGCCACATAGTGAAAAAGGAATGAGAATCAGGGACTTGAACAGGAAAAGTATGTGGGGAAAGAGCGGGGGCGGGGGAGTGGCACGATGGGCCGAATGGCTTCCTTCTGTGCTGTAATATTCTATGATTCAATGACAGTGAACCTTACCCGAGGTAATCCACGGCAGGAACCAGGGGCAGGGCTCAGATACACTGCCCGGGTACGACTCAGGCCAGCAGATAAACTGGTCAAAGGTTCTGTTGCAAAATATTCCTGGTGAAGTTGGAAGCCAAACAGAATAGGTGGATTATTCCAGTGATACAGCAAGTGGGAAATTAAGGTTATATGTGGAAAGAGACAGAGTTATATTAATAATAATAAAAATAATACAAATACATCATAGTACATAATAAGAACAATCCTTGCAGTTGATAAAGCACCTTTCATGTCACGAAACATCTCAAAGTGCTTCACAAAATTTACTGTAAAGTGTAGTGACTGTGTATTTTGTACGCAAGTTGACAGTTATAGCACCAATTTTGTGTAAACATAAAGACACATTGGTCTTATCTTCCAGGCTAAGACTTGGTGGGATTTCGGGCTTTCAATGCTCTGGTCAGCCCCCAGAGAGATACCAATCTTTTAGATCATTGCTTCAAACATGGCCAGATGTTGCTCGTATCTGATAAAGCGGCAGATATTTCCATGTCAAATCTCGTAGAAATGGAGCTCATCTCATTACAACAAGAGAAGTCATCGCAGGTCAGACTAGACTTAGCCATCAAACTAATGGAGAGAGAGATACCCTGATCTCCAATGGATTTCATTACAGACGCTGCAGCAAAAGTACAGTACAGTTGAACACCCAGATTTACAATCACCCGCAAAACAGATATTCACTGTGCAGGGGGATCATTCAAAGACTTCTGCAACCACTAAATCCTTAGATACATAGCTACATATTAATCCTTGCATTTGACACAGTCCCCATAACAATCAAAAAGCGCTTCAAGGGTCACTGTCGGAAAGTGTAGTGACTGTGTATTTTGTAGGAAAGCTCGGCAGCCATTTTGCAAGTAGCAATTTCCCACAGGAAGTGAATGGCCAATTTTATTTGGGGGGATTGTCGGCCAGGACACCGGGAGAGAGAGAGAAACTTTCTTTTCTTTTTGAATAGCACTGTAGGGTATTTAATGTCCACCTGAACAGGCAGATGGGATTGTCTTACCCAGGTTTGATAGACTCTGACATTGTGTTTGGGAAGCACAGGACAGATTGGTATAATACTTCACAATCATTGAGCCATGAAGGAGGTTAAAAGAAATGAACCAATTCCACTAGATGAAACAAAGGGAACCACAAGACGAAGGTTAAAACTAATGATGAGGATTGGCGTGTAGATGGTGAGGAATGTGTGCGTGTTGAGATAGGAGCAACAATTATTTGTTACCATTATAAATTCAGGGAAAGGCACTGTGATAAGGAATTATTTCAGCCTCGGAGTTGTTAAATGACTGAACAACCACCCAGTGAAATATTGTCACAAATAAGGTGCTCACATCAGAGATGGACAGATTCTTAATTCAACAAGAAGTAGATTGATTCAGGCCCTGTGTCAAGTCAGGAGGGACATAAAAATGATCCAATCAGGTGTTGTATCTACAGTGTAGGAATGTACAGAATTGCAAAAGACCATTGAGGTCTGTTTATATAAATCTTTGCATTTGATACAGTGCCTTTCATGTCGGTTGGACACCTCAAAGTACTTCACAGAATTTACTGTAGCTAAGTGGTTAGAGCGCTCACCTCACAAACGAGAGGACCTGGGTTTGATTCCCAGTCAGGGTGAAACGTTGGGCTAGTTTCCTTATTCCACACGCCTCTGTTTACCCAGCAATACGTAGGAACCCGCTTGTTAATCGATTGGAAGATTGGTTTTCCAGGGGTGATAATCCCTTCCAAAAAATAATAATTAGGTCACTCAATTTTTGTGGGGACGCTGCTGTGCAATTGGCTGCCACGTTTCGCCCACAAAACATACGGTCAATTCACTTTACGGTATATTCTGTGAAATGCTTTGAGACGTCTCGAAGACGTGATAAGGCGCTGTATCAAATGCATGGATTATTATGTTATTAATTACTGTAAAGTGTAGTGACTGTGTGTTTTATAGCCCAATATTTATGATCTTACATATGAAGAGAGGCGAATGCTAAACAGCAGAATGTTTTTGCTAGTTTGCTAGTTTCCATCCTGCTGGGTTCTGAGCAGACACACCGAATAGTGAAGCAAATTCTTTCTGGAAGCAGAATACCAGGTTTATGTAAGAACCGATTTATTATAAATCAAGACAGCAAGTATTACAAACACAGCTTCTGGCAGTTGCTGCTTATAAATTTGAGGCCATTTATTCTCTGTGAGCCAATAATACAGGGGTAAGCAAATTCGGCATTTGCTGAAGACATTGCTCAGACAGCAAGGAGAGAGGAGGCATTGAATTTCTTTGGTCTCAAGTCTCTCCATCGAGTTCACAGTCTAGGCTGACACTAGTGTAGGAGTGGGAGGGAGGCTGTATTGTCAGAGGTTTTGGGTGAGAAATCAAACTGGGGTCCTCTCTGCCAGTTCCCACAAACTGAGGGAAGGGAGTCTGTCCTAGTTAGCAGCCTTCCGGATAATATTGCTTATTCAGTTCACAACTGTTTGTGGGACATTGCGCAAATTGGCGGCTGTGTTTGTCTACAAATCACTGGGCTTGACAACGATTCACTGTGAAGTGTGCTTTGACATTCAAAATACTGGATCAAAAGGAAGGATGTTGGTTTGTGGTATTTGAGGATTGGGCAGACAGACAGGAATGGTCATTTAAATAAGATGTTAGGGGATGTGTGGAGGTTTGGGATGAAAAGACAAAATGGAAAATTAATTATCTGTGGTTGTCCTGTCCCTTCACATGAACTTTGACCCAAACTGGAGAAAATCTGGCCCTGTAGCACATCGGGAGAGGAAGAGGCTTTAGAAATGTCACCCGTTTTGTTTTTAAGCTGCTTCGCTTAAAAGTCTTGACCGGGCCTCTGACAATTTCACTGCAAAACCAGTGTTGCACTTACCCAGCGATGAAATGTCAGTTCAGCCCTGTATTAGAAAAGCAGATCCATAAAAATGTCAGGCCTGGGTACTTATCTCAAGTAAACCTTCATTAGCAATACAGATACCAATCTCATAGCAACCAGGATTTGATATCTGAGCCACCCATTCTCATTCTTGTGATGCTAATCCCAGCTCACGTCAACGTCCACACTCATCATGACCAGCCTTTAAATACCCCTGACAATGAATATGCTGTACACTGCACTGGCTGATCACAAGCTGACCCGAACCCTAATTCATATCATATTGAAATATAATGCATGCCGTACACACTAACTAAATTAATCCTTACATTTGATAATACAGCCCCTTTCACATCGGGATGAATGATTGATTGCTTGAATCAATCATGAATGATTGATTGTATCTGGAGGAATGTTGGCCAGGACACTGGGAGGGAGAAACTCTTCCTTTTTTGAATAGCATTGCGGGAACTTTAAAATCCAGGCAAGAATGATCATTTAAATAAGTTGATGGGGGATATGTGGAGGTAGGCAGGCAGACGGGACCTCAGTTTAACGTCTCATCTGAAGGATGGCATCCACGGCAATGGAAATAGTTGTGAAAGAAAGGAAAGAGTTGCAGAGTTGGAGAAAGGTTAGAGCGACTGTTAAGCTACTCACCAGTCTTTGGGAAAGAGCGTGACAGGTTCTGCAAACACTGTTCTTTGTACAAGGACCAATTGGTGATCGTCTCCTCCAGCATTGAGCCAGTGACCTGCACCGTAAAGGGGAAGAAAAACAAGGACATTTTGAATTTACAAGTGAAATTGATTCGGAATCATCAACAACAACAACAAATGACATTTACACGGCACCTTTCATGTCGGGAGGACAGCCCAAAGCGTTGGACAGTCAGGGATTTGGACCCGAGCTGGGGGTTGGGATCTGGAGGGGTAAAGGGCAGGGAGGGTGGGGGTAGGAGGGTGACTGAAGGCGCGGTCAAAGAGGAGGGTCCTGAGAGGAGCCTTGAAGGAGACGAGGGAAGGAACGAGGTGAAGGGACTGTGGGATGGAGTCCCAAAGGGAGGGGACAGAGATCCTGAAGGCCAGAATTAAATCGGTTATTACCGTGTGATCACTACTCTAAAAGAGAAGGGAAGGTTCTCCCAGTATCCTTGCTAACATTCCCCCCACCCCACCACAAGATTAAATGCCCTGGCCAACAATCCCCCCACCCTCTCTCTCTGGCCAACATCCAATGCGCAATTAAATAAGATTCTCTTACATTTTTCTGAGAAACTTTTTTGTGCTGAAAAAAGCCGCAGTGAAATTCAGTGAATTCATCACCGACCATGCTCCAGTTTAACATTAATATGTTTACATTTGATACGAAATGTAAGCATATCAATCCAACCGACATGAAAGCGCCCTTCATGTCGGGAGGATGTCTCAAAGCGCTTCACAGGATTTACTGTGAAGTGTAGTTACTGTGTGTTTTGCAGGAGAATGTATTCTTCTATAGAAGCCCCTGACCATCCTGTGGCTTTATCCGGGTCCGTGAATCCTCGTTGGAATAGATTCCACGCTATTCCCAGCTGGCGGTTGCTGTATGTGCTAAGCCTAACACACAGCAGGAACACATGGGGGTCAGGTCAGTGCCTAGGCTGATGTTCAGCAGGCTTTACTCTGATCAAAGAACTATGTATGACCGAGAGGTTACTGTAAATAAATATTGAGGTTCCTGTTAGCTTCCTGCATTACAGTGAATGTAACTGAGTCCGGGGCACATGGCATAGGACACATCTCAAGCCGCGGCTTTAACATCAATGCCTCTGTGTGTTAACTTGTCAGTTTCTTACATAGAATGTCATCGACATAGCACGGAAACAGTGGAGTCCTGTAGCTTAGGATCGCTTTTCCATGGGTAATAATCCCTTCCCGTGAATAAATAAATAAAATAATAATAATTTGGTCACTCAATCCACCACCGTTTGTGGGGACGCTGCTATGGGCAATTGGCTGCCGCGTTTCGCCCACAAAATATACAGTCAATACACTTTACAGTGTATCCTGTGAAGCGCTTTGAGACGTCTCGAAGACGTGATAAGGAGCTATATCAAATGCAAGGATTATTATTAGAAGGATTATTATTATCGGGGTCTCCTCCTGTTCCTAAAAATAGAAGGGAAAAGAGAAGATTTATTTCTCCTTTTGGACTAGTCCATCCCATTATATTGGCTCCTTTGCTGCTGTTATTATAATCTCCTGTCAGACAGCAATGAGACATTTGGGAGAGGGTCTTGCTCAGATTTGGCATCACTTTAAACTCTTTCCCTTTTTCATTTGTGGTTTACAAACTGCAGGCAAATGGACAGAAGCTTGCTCTCCAGCAGAGACAACCAGAGACATAGACCCCACCAACTTTAACGTTTTCAACACTGAAAATCACCTTGGAATCGACACAATCATAAACGTACAAAGAATAAAAATAATTCTTAATTATTATTATTATTAGCTCATAATAACTGATAACTTGTCACTCACTCCCAATAAAAAGGCTCAATGACAAGTTACCCAGAGTGGAGAGTTAGACAAATGCATAAATACATAAATAAATGTCGCCAGGATATTGACAGCATGATGACAGTGACAAGTTAAGCCAGGGTCTGGGATGGGAGTTTATAATGAATGTGCTCTTATTAAGCCCTTTGTGAAGCTGACTTTGTTTGGCTGTAAGCGAGTGTTGGAACTCAATCGTTTAAGCAAAAGTCAGTCGATCAAATTAACTTCCATCCCCACAGAGACCAGCGGGGAATCTGTTTATTTGGCATTTTCTTTTGAAACATGACGTTGCTGAAGTCACGAAAGTATTTTATCGGCTTTTAAGTTCCTTCACCCCAGGGTCAGGGCAATATTTCATCGTCATGTGGCTTTGCAATTTTGGGCTCCGAGTGTTATTAATTCCTAAGATGTCCACATTTTCTGAAAACAGGGAACCTGATGGGGAAAAGGTGATGTTGTGTCGTGGGGAGGGGTGTTGAGGGGAGGTGGAGGTAAGAGGGGAGGCTAAATGAATCTGTTTAATACGATTCACACCCCTGACCTTCGCACAAGGGACAGGGCTGTCTTACCTGAATTTTTCGCCCCCTAAATTTCCGCTCCTTGAAAATTAAAGCATAATAATAACAATAAACTTTGCATTTGATGCAGCGCCTTATCACGTCTTCAAGACGTGTCACAGCGTTTCACACATACTGTAAAGTGGAGTTGCTGTATAGATTGTGGGCAAAACGCAGCAGCCAAATGCACACAGCAGCGTCCCCACGAACAGTCCTGATTTCTTTTAAAGGGAATATTGAAACATGCTTAGAAACAGTAAGTTGGGGGAAAAAATTGTACCCGGGTCCAGAATAACTGCGTAACAGCATTTTGGAGCATTCGGAGTTTGGCAAATTGTTGAATTCAGTCTAAACTTGGGAGTTGTGTTTTTCTGTAGATACTGTCTGACAGCTCCCCAAATAAAATGGTTCATTTACTCCATGGCTGTTCGCGACACGTTGCTGTGCACAACTCAGTTCCCGCGTTCATCTACAAAACACCTAGTTACTCCACTACAATGGATCACTTTGAGCCCTCCTTCGTGACGTGAAAGGCGCTGCATAAAGTTTTTAAAAAGAAGAAACTTTACAGAAAATTGGCTTCGAAATTAAGGCTGTCGAAGGACTTACCTAATCATGTGCCGTTTGGAATATGACATAATAATGCTACTACTGATAATAATAATAATAATAAATAATCCTTACATTTGGTACAGAGCCTTTCGTATCGGAGGGTGTCCTAAATGCGTCACAAGATTTACTGTGCTGTACTGTAGTGTAGTGACTGTGAGTTTTTAGGCAATTTGTGCACAGTAACGTCCCACCAATTTTTATACGGGGGGATTGCTGGTCAGGACATTGGGAGAAAGAAACTCCTTCTCTTTTGGAATTGTGTCACGAGATCTCTAGTATTCACCCGGACAGGTTTAACCTCTCACTTTGCAACAGTTTGCCAAACTCTGAGAAGTTCCCAAATCTCACCCGAAGGTCACAAACAGAGTCAGAATCTAGAGCCGGGCGGAACTCCCCCCAGATATAGGTTGTCTTTTTAAATAATAAACTGGTGAGCGCCCTCCGAATTTCCTACCTGCTTTGTTTGCAAGATGAGCAAAAGGAACGCTGATCCTGCGATCCTTAGGTTTTTCAAACTCTGCAGTTTCTGGTTCAAAGCTGCTCCTCGCTCCTCTCCCCCGCTGGGAATTCTCATCGCGCTCCTCTCTGGAACAGTCTGCCAGCCAAAGCATAAAGAGGACATTTCATTTCCCTTGGGCTGCCCGAATCCCGACCCACTTCCCTTTTTCCCCCAAACTGTGCTGGAGAGAGGCGAGCAGCATCTGTGAAAATTACAGCTGTCTGTTTTACATCTGTCTTGTTGCTCCCATGGATTATTTTAAACGCTTTGCGCCCACGGTCTTTGCAGTCAAATCTAATGTGGTTCCATTCAAAATCCAGTCCAGTTTAGTACCTATCCGTCCTAAAACAGCCTGTTGAAATTTTTCATTGCATTCCTTGCTCCCCAGAGACACAAGTGCCACTGTCCGTCCGTCCGTCTGTTTGTCTGCTATTCCATGCTGGCAACATCAGCCTGCAGTGTGAACATGCTTGACTGCCTCCTATACTTTTCTCCACCAATCATTCCCGAATCAAGGCTGGTTACCACAGAAACGGAGACACACACAACCCCCACTCTTATTTACAGATGAAATAATATTCCCTAACCCCGTGCGTTGCTGGACTAATGGATTTGTTCAAGAGGCGGTCAGTGTTTTGCAGATTATGGCGTTTATAATTACGATTCTCAACTTTTCAAATGAATTTGTTCCACTGTGTGAAGTTCAAAACGTTTGTGCGCTTTGGATGAAGAATTAAACATTAATATTATAATGGGCAAAATTCAGCTGTTCAGCCTTTATGGCTAAGTATCTTCATAGCAGTTAACAAATACAACAGCAACAATTTGTGTTTATATAGCGCCCTTCATGCTGTACAGCGACTCAGAGGAAGAGGTGACCATAGACACAATCGAAGACCTAGGTATATAAAATGGGATTAAAGATAAATAATAATAATAATAATTATAATAATCTTGCGTTTGATATAGTGCCTTATCACCTCGTTGAGATGTCTCATAGCGCTTCACAAATATATTGGAAAGTGGATCGACTGTATTTTGGGGGTGAAACGCGGCAGCGAATTTCGCACAGCAGTGTCCCACAGACAGTCGTGGATTGAGTGACCAAATTATTATTATTATTTTTTTGAAGGGATTATTTGCACAGGAAAACGATCGGCCTATCGACTAACAACCAGATGGAGTAAGGAAACTTACCCAAGGTTTTGCCCCGCCCGGGACTCGAACATGGGTCCTCTCGCTTGCGAGGTGAGTGCTCTAATCAATAGAAAGTCACAAGTTAGAATTTGAGCTCACAGTGTGGTGGGGAAGAGACACTGGATTGTCGGAGGTACCAGGTACGATATTAAACTAAGATCCTAACTGCCTGTTGAAAAGAGAATAATTTCAGGCAGTGTCCGAGCCAACAATCCTTCAGATAAATTACTAAATCCCCACGTGGCTGTTTGGGGGATTGTGATGGAGTAAATGACTGTTACATTTACCTTCAGTAACAGTCAGTGCATTTGACAGTAATTACTGGGGAAGAGGTTCCAGCTGTCTTGACTTGATCAATTCTGTTTTATCCAAATGTCTCCTGTGATGTTCTGATTAACCTTGTCAATTTCCCTTTTAGAAGGTTGGGAACGTCAGTTAAATCAGCTGGAGGGATAGACAAGCTGAGTGGTGTGTTTGACCTTTGCTCATATAGCTGACATTGCTGCTGGCTGAAGGCCTACCCATGGCTGGCCTCTGCACCTGCACATGGCCACTTGACTACCAGACATTCCTTCAGGAACTATTTACAGAGCAAACGTTGTTGGCCTTTGTGCAGATTCCATGGCTCCTGACTCTTCAGAGTCTGTCCTGAAATCACCATTCAGGGTGGGGTCAGTGAATGGGGTGGGGTCAGTGAATGGGGTGTGGTCAGTGCTGGGGTGGGGTCAGTGGGATAAGAGGAGACCCCTATAATAATAATCCTTACATTTGATACAGCACCTTATCACGTCTCTGAGATGTCGCTAAGCGTTTCACAGGATATACTGTAAAGTGAATTGACTGTATATTTTTGTAGGCAAGAGCGGCAGCCAATTGCAGACAGCGATGTCCCACAAACAGTCCTACATGGAAGGTGCTGTATTAATGCAAGCTGTTATTGTATTTCATCCTAATTTCACTTTTCAATTTTGTACAAGTCTAGAAAACTTCAACAGACATTATCTGCTAAATAACACGCTAAGTAATGTAGGATTGCCACTGGCAGCGTTAAGGAGAGGTTGGAGGCAGAGGGTTAATGTGGTATGGAATGCCTTAGCGCAAGTGGCTATTGAGGCTGAGACAATAAAACAACTTATAAAACGGGATTGGATAAACACTTGAAGAGGAAGAACATAAAAGAGCAACCAACTAGGATTCCAATGGTTAGCTGAGTGTGTGAGTCAGCACCAGCTTATGTTCAATGGGCTAAAATAGTCTCCTATTACTGTACTTTCTACAATACTATAGATACAATAGTAGTCTATTGTTGAGACTCACCCGCCACAACTGATCATTAGCTTTGCCATTTCCCACCCTCCCCACTAGACCCACCCTCCCCACTACACCCACCCTCCCCACTACACCCACCCTCCCCACTACACCCATCCTCCCGTTACAGCATCCATCTGTTTGCTAAACGAGTGCGTGCACTATTATCTGTACACTGGATTCCTCTCCTCCTCCCCCCTTCCTCACTTCCTCCTAACCCCTCTGCAGGAATCCTGGAACAGTGTTAAGGTCAGAAGTGGATCACTGGGAGAGAAGTAGAGTCACATAGAATGACTTCACTTCACCTTTGTTTAAGTCAACAGAGACTTTGGCTACGATCCTGGTGCTCTGGCGATCGCCAAAAACCACTTAATTTTAAAGCACTCACTGGAACAAAGAACTGAGAAGAGACAAAGAGTATCTGGAAGTTGGACGTCAACGGAAGCGATGTATCGGAATACATCTTGATTAAATTAGACTTTGAGTGCTCATTATTGTAAAGATTACTGGTAACAATTCTATTTGCTCTGTAATTGTTCGATCCCTTGTGAAACCTGAAACTAAAACTAAAAACAAACTATTCCAACCGAGGTCCTTGAATTGATCAGAAATTATTTTCTTGATTTTTTTAAACAACAATAATAAACCTGGCATTTTATATCACATCAAAAAGGAATAATAACCTTTATATTTGACATAGCGCCTTAGTACGTCTTCGAGACGTCTCAAAGCGCTTCACAGAATATACTGTAAAGTGCAGTGACTGCGTATTTTGTGGGCGAAACTTGGCAGCAAATTGCGCAACAGCGATGTCCTACAAACAGTCGTGGATTGAGTGATCACATTATTATTTATTTTATTTTTAAAAAAATTTTGAAGGGATTATTACCCCCGGAAAAGTGATCCACCAATTGACCAGGTTCCTACTTACTGCTTGGTAAACAGAGACATGTGTGGAGTAAGGAAACTTGCCCAATGTTTTGCCATGCCCGGAAATTGAACCCAGGTCTCACACTTGCGAATCAAGTGCTCTAACCACTGAGCTACAGGACTTCCACTGGGAAAATGTATAGCAAATACAAATCTTTCCGTCTGTTCTTTCGATTATTAAACGCTAATGGCTTTCACACGTGAGTGGAAGGACTTTTCCATCATCATGTGGCGCTCCACTGCACTGTAAATGAGACATTTAAGGCTGTTTCTCTATGATCGGAATTCCATTGGTGGTCATACTTTCCAAATTCCTTCTTCACACAGATTTTGAGCACTTTGCTTTGACACTGTTGATTCTCGTTGAATTTGGCACAGCGCCCAATCGCGCTTATAACAAGTCGATCGCTCTATCTATGGACATGGCAGCTTGTAAGCGAGTGCTGTTGAGGTTTACTCCCAGAAGTGGATGCCTCCTTGTGTCCAACTCCGTGGCCTCCATGACATTTGCCAGATGACAGACTAACTTATTTCCTTAATCCGTGGGGATGAAGTGCAAAGTCCCGTGTTTATATGTGGACCAAAGGAATTTGAAACGAAAGGGCAAACCTAGCAATTTGGGATTATAAATTGGTTCTGGGCTGTTGGATCATTAAGAGATCGCGCTCTCCATTATACAAATGACCTTCAAACACTCTGGCTGCTCAGAGAGAAGTTATTCCATCAGCCTCCATGCCAACGTGTACAAATTACAGGCTTGAATGATCCCATTGGCACTCAATGGCAATAAGACTATCAGGCAGGTAATCCCACGTAGTTATCATGTGAATGCCATTCGGAAGGCAGTGTTCAACACCTCTAACAATGTGAAATCCCTAACGACAGAGAATCTTTCCAGATGTTTGTCTGGTACTTTTTGGAATGGGAATGGACATGTCCATCTGTGCTGGCTGGCAATGTAACAGTAACAATAGTAGTGATCAGGGCTGTTCAATAAAAGGTCTGATTCACTGAGGGAACCTCGTGAGTAGCATTTTGACTGAACTCTAATTACGGACATTGCACTCAATAAGTGAAAGATAAGTGTTATTTATTGTAATATTAATAATAATAATCCTTGCATCTGATATAGCGACTTATCACCTCTTCGACACGTCTCAAAACGCTTCACAGAATATACTGTAAAGTGAATTGATGGTGTGCTGTATTTTGTGGGTGAAATGCATTGGTTGAACCTCATGAGTTGGATTCAAACCCAGATCCTTGTGGTCCGACATCCAGTAATCAACCTATACATCCTTGACTTGCTCTCAGATGTCAGGCAAATGTTTGATATTGTCTCTTGAGTAACACATGCCAGCATAGAGCAGCCACTTCACAGAATATAACAGTTCATCAGATGGTGTTACACAGCAAGGCAAAATATTTCTATCTTTCTGCAATATATCATTAGATTTTCTGCATCCTTTGAACGCCCCCTCTTCCCCCTCCCCTCCCCTTCCTCTCCCCCCCCACCACCACCAGTTGAAAACTACAACATTGCTATTGAAATGTTAGGAATGCAATGAAGAACAGCGAGCAAGGACAAGGCATTGCAATTCCCAGGGAAATGAAGCCAACTTCCATGAAGATCTGAAGACATCCATTCAGTGTGGAAACCATAAATCAACACCCAACGCTCTTTTTTATTTACGAGAAACAGACATGGTTCTGACCTGTAAACTAGCTTTTTTCCCCCATTCTCGAGAAGTGCATTTTTCACTCATTGTCGGGATATTGTCTTGTTTTGTGTTTTTGTCAATTGATTTCCCTTGTGAAGAGCCGTGTGCAGTTCCTACCCAAGTAACCAGGCCAGAATGGTCATATGTGATCCTTGCCAGTGAGTGTTGACCATCATGGGGGGGAGGGGGGTGGGTGCGGGCAGTTGTGGGCGGGTGGGGGGGCATTGAGCAGCCCCCAAGAGCTGTACCCTGGCTGATTCCACTCTCTC